TATATTTAACAATACAAACCCAAATATGTATATATGTTCATTCAACTGATCAACGTTTACATGTGTGATATCTTGTTTTATCAGTAACTATATAATTTCAATTTGTATTTTCTGTATTATTATTTTTTACCTTGTGAGAATCTGTACTGTCCTGTTTTTCATGCTCACTCTGTTGCTGCTTTAACTCCTCAATTTCCCCACAGGGATAAATAAAGGTCCATCTTATCTTATCTTATACAAACTAAAGTGTATTGCATTTAAATTGTGAGATTTGCACTAAATATTCTCTGTAATTTTGTAACATTGCAAAGTCATCCCACGGGCCGGATTGGACCCTCTGGCGGGCTGGTTTTCCGTGTGCTTGACACCCCTGCTCTGAACCTGGACTCCTCACCTCTCTTCTTGGCCTGGGCCACCATCTCTTCATACTGCTGTCGGTGCTTCTGGGCCTCCTCGGCGGGCTTGGCAGGCAGATTACTGTAACACACATCAATGCAGGGAAATGGATCAGCCACTATGTGTTCTGAGCTTCACTTGAATTATTCATGTTGAGCTAGCTTGCATGGAACAGCACAAAGTGCACCCTTAATGTGCTCCATATTAAAAATACACATCTCCAAGACAACTGGGCTATTTGTGCTGCTGAAAACCAGGTTATACGAGTGAAAGCTCCAGAACAGCTACTAAATTGACCTTTGTAAAGAAAATAAATCATATAGCAAAGCCTTTTTTTCATTTTTTAAGATTTGATACACTTATTTTGTAAATATAAGTGATAGAAAGGTATTTCAGTATTTCGTTTTTACACTCCGAATATAATCTACATTTTATTGGGTCTTCTTAGTGGGAATCACGTGATTTTAAATGTCACTGTGTATACGCTTTTCATTAATTTCGGGCTACAAACAAATGGTTCATTTTAATTTAACTAAGGCAATAACACACATGTTCAGTGTTTTTTCAGATGAGTTTCACCAGTAGGGGGTGACAGTAAAGAAGGATAGGCGGTGGGAGGCTGAGCTCACATTTTGCCAGTCATGGTGTTAGAATAAACTTTCCTTTTGTTCACACAGGAAATCAGGCCAATTGTTTTTACTTACTACGAGCAGAAGTTTTAATCGTGTGGCTGAGCAGCAAAACTGAATGAAAAATTAAGCCTGGAATATGTCTGTGTGTATGCCTATTTTAAGATTTACATTTTTACATTACCTGTTTTACATTTAAGAAAAAAAAACTAGGGTAATGGAGCCAGGCTGAGGGAGGGTCATTAAACTTTCAGCAGCGCCTCTCTTTTACCGACTGTGATACAAACAGGGGGAGCTGGAACAATACTGAATGGGGTCTAATGACAGAGGAAGGAGGAGTGATAAAGGAGGAATGAGGGGAAGATATAATAGAGGCGAGGCGACATACGTGGCTATACTGTCTGAGAAGCAGTGAAGAATGTGGGACATGCTAATATCCCACAGATATTCAACTACGCCACAGACAAGTGTCAGTGTTTACATACGCAGGTCTGTCCTCCAGTATGAGTGCGGTGGTGGACAGGGGCTCAAAGTCCAGGTTTTTCCTCACACTGTGCCTGGGAGACGTCGGGTTGCCAGGTCCAGCTCTGCCACTCTTTGTTTCATATTCCTGTGGACAAAAAAACCCACATTTAGACAAAAAAAAAAGCTTACTGGGGAGTTTTAGAGGAAACACAGTCTGCTTTTGCTGTTCATGAGATGTGAGCAACATTAATACACACAGCGCAAAATGTGGTGGATTACTTGCTTTATAATCCATGTCAAAGTACATGAGTAAATTGCCACAAACTGACCTTAAAAAGCATGTTGTGATCAGACTCAACTGCTAGGATGTAATAGCTGGGGAATCATTTTAAAAACATAATGAGAACTTTTTGTGTACGTTACATCACACAGAAACACTGAGGCATGTCTTAACCTTGTGACAAGGCTCTTTGGCCTTTGAGCATTTGTCAGCTGGTGTCTAATGAGTGTTGGCCTATAGGAAGAGGAGGCCATGTGACTTTCAGTATGAAACAGCAACCAACACAAGGTTTACTACCAGCTGACTTCTGTGTTTGTCTTAAAGAGCACACACAGTTCAGGTAAGACCTTTAGATAAAACCCAAGATTGTCTGGTTAATTTAAAAGCCATTGTATTTAGGACGAGTGCAATACAAGCACACATACACACTACGTACTGTGTGACAAAAGGGCCTGCAGTGTGCATGGAGCTGGTTAATAATGTAGGCAGCTTAACACAGCGCTGCCACAGGGCCGTTCACATTGGTCACAATACAGACAGGGAAATCTATTCTCCACAATAGCTGTGTATGCGTGTGTGTGACAGATGCTGTCCACGTTTATTATCCGCCTTTGTGTCACGTTTTTTTTTTTTTCCAAAGCCAGGGGGACCAATAAAGTTAATTGAATAAGACCCAATAAGGCAGGGCATCAGAGATTAAAAGTAATAGACATAAAAGACAAATCCATCATGACCTATTGATAATGGCACCTAACAGAGAGTTAAGTTCTCTCCAAGATTAATGAAATAGGCCATAAAATAAAAGAATAAGCAGTCAAAACAATCTATATATAAGTGCTCAGCTGTGTGAGTCTTAACTTAGGCACCACAAGCTAGATGATAAAGTCAGCATGCTCACACGCTTACAAATACAATGCTAACATTTTAAGTTTAGCAGGTAATGTTCATCATCATCATAGTTTTTGAAAATAGTCCCACATTCTAGAAGTTAGAACATATGCTTATTTCTTTCTTGCAGATTCTTAAATGAGAAGATAGAAACTCTCGCATTTCTGAATGAAAAATCAAGTTGAAGAATAGTTTTGCTTGAAACTGGACTCGTTAGCCCACATTTTTCAAAAGATAAAATAAATATACCTCTCAATACCTCTCATTGAATGAGAAGGGCATTATTTATATTTAAAGCACAAATATGAGAATGGTACCAATTTTACCCAACTTATTCCAAGAAAGCAAAAAATAGATTAAATAAAAACATTAGAAAGTGAAAATTCGCCAGTCGCCAGTGTCTCTACCTTTGCAGAGACCAAAGAAAAGCCAAAAGGTGTCAAAAAAAAAAGGTGACCAGATTACAGAGTAATAGCAGGGTATCATCTTATCTACACTTAGCAGGGACGCAGAAGAAAAAACAGGACCAGAGATAGTTGAAGGGAAAGCCTGACAGTAGAATGCCTCTCCTGAGGATTGAGCATTAGTGGAAAGCAGTTGACACAGAAGACAGAAATAAATGAGGGCCATGGTGAATTGAGGATGAAAGTCAAGAGTGCTAAAGGAAGTGAACTCCCCCGTCACTGGGAAATGGAGGTCATTCATGGGTAAGCCTGCACTCAGCACTGGGATGGGAGTAGAGTGCTACACAGAGGGCTGAGTCACCATTCTTATGTGTACTTTCCCTATTTCTTTGCCATCTTTATCCTGACTTTCATCTTCCCTGCCGTTTGTCCGTCCCTCACTCCCTTAGAAGCTTAGTGACTTCCTGTGGAGCCAGTTGTTTACTACTGTAGCTGGAAGGCTAACCTTTATAAAGCTAGGTAGCTGGAAACATGCTAGCACTACTAAGTCAGAATAGCCCTCTAGCTAGATTGTTAATGGTCAGTGAGCAAGAAAGCTAGCTTGGTCGCTAATGGGCCTTTTTCTTTTTTTTTTTTAAGAGGAAAGGAGGCTAGGATACTTCCTCCATTTAAGATTCAGTTTAAAAAACACATATTTGGGTAGTTTTGTTAATCATTTCTTGTGCAGTTAACAAATCCCCAGTTCAACTAGATTAGCTTAATGTTATTTTGAGAAACAGACACATTCACAAAACAATATGTCCCTTGTGCGAATGGTTGACCAGGTATTGATTTTCCTTTTGCTTTAATGAACAGGTTACATGGATGTGCTGCTGATGCGCATTTCAAAGACAGTGTGTACCCGAGGGAACCTCTGCAGCTCGATAAAAAAAGGTAAGCTAGGGTTTAGGACCCTGACAATAGATGAATACTGCAGAAAGAGAGAGGGAAGACGACAAGAGGGAGGTAGATGGGGGAGGGACCATTTGGCATCTGTCCAGCAGCAATGCAGGTGCTACCAACAAGGTGAAACACAAGACATAATGTGTGTGAAGCTGTACCGAGAGGTGTATAGAAGGGGAGGTACATGAGGTGAATGGTGCAAACAAGTATGTGAGGTTGAGAAACTCCCTACAATGAGACATTAGCTAAAACAATAACAATGGACTGATGGTGCAATATCAAGACACTGGAGCTGAATCCGGTAAAGACTAACCACATTACATTCCTTCTCCTCTCGACAACTAGTTCAACTGGTGAATCAGCACTTGGGCTGAACGTTATCTGACTTCAAACAGCTCCCTCACACAGAAAAACATTTATAAAACTTTGATTCATACAGATTTTGAAGCTCGATCATCTCAGTATTTATTTTGTTCATATATATTAATGAAGTTACATTCCTGTGAAAAGCCATCTTGCATACATAAAGTATGTATGTATGTATATTTCTCAACAATGGGAAGAAACGCCAAGGGTAGAACTTTATTCTTTCGTTGTATTAGCTTTAAGCTGTTGCAAAAGCGACTGTGTCCCATGATAACCTGCTGCCAGGGCAACCGGCTTTGTCATGCTGGCTCTTAGTTGTTCTCCAATTTCCTGTTAAAGCAGCAAGAGCTCTCTGGGTGACTGACTGGCTTTCACGCTCACTGCCAGTGTTCTTTATGCTTTCAAACTAAAAGAAAGAGATGTTTTTTAAACTATTTTTACACCATGTGACCCTAAAGTCTTACAAAAAAAAAATGAAGTGCTACTTAGGTAACGGCATGTTTTGCAAGTTCCTTCTATGTGCAAAAAGGAGCTCAGTGTTACAAATGTTGGTAACGCTGTCCTTCTATTTGCTGTGTGTCCATGCAATATATTGTAATGAAAACACTGGCTTTCTAGATGTAAGCTACTGTATGAGACAAGTGGCCCACAGCAGTGTGCCTAGCCTGCTTTCACTACATGCCAATCACAAGGCTTCTAACTGGAAACTGCTTGAGGTAGTCCCAAAGTATTTTTCCAAAGCCCATCAAGTGTCAATGAGTCAGATGGCTTCTGTGTGGTTGGCAGTGCTACAGGTTCATCAGAACTGTCCAAATTCAACACGGTTATGCCACTGATTTCCTTTAAAAGATGTTAATTACATTACAAAGTAATTTATATATTAGCATTCTCAAATAGGAAAAAGTGTCCTTAAATGGAGCACTCTGCTATGTCCATTTTAAATCAGAATGGGAAAGAAGCACCTTTATATTTGTGGTGAATGATCTCCTAAACTTATGACAATGTCAACTGTTTTAATGAAGTCACATCATCGGGTTGGGTGAGGAACAATCGTAAGGAACAATCTAGACGTGCTAATGCTCTGTTGCAAGTTGCTATCATAAATGTATATTCATAGAAGAAAACGGCAATGGCCCCCATTTAAGAGCTGTGCAAAATATTCTTGATTGAATATATTTGAATGAGTTTCAAGCTATGATTCATTTCGGACTAGACCAGCTGAGTAACAGTTACCGCAGGGGAGCTGAGGATTCTGTTAGTAAGGCTGTAATGATCTGGCAGCTTTCTTGAGACTAAATATGCAATATCCAGACAAACAGATGGAACCACGGGCACTGGCGCCAAAGCATTTAAAAAAAGAAAATATCAGCATGCCTTACTAGAAAGCGTAAATAAACACTGATACAGCTGATCTCTAACTGCATCAGCTGGCTATAATCCCTTGACATTCATGCAAAACATAACAAAAACATACTGTCATACTGTTGCACCTATACATTCAATGGAAATGGGTCATCTATTGGTTGGACATCATCAGTCAGGATATAATAATCTTTCTAAGACTGCCATCACTACGAAGCAGAGCTACGACAAGCTGAAAGAGAATATCATGTGAAATCCGAGCCATCCTCTTCCTCTGCAGCGTCTCCCTCACGCTCCGACTACCAATGCCCTCTGATTCCGCCAGACAAGGAGACGGGTCACCCAGCTCATCCACTTGTCCTCGTTGTGCAAATGCTCACTCACCATGAACGCTGCTGTTCCCTACAGTCCTCCGCTGGGGATTTGTTTCCAAAAAACCTTAGTGTAGCGTCATCGCTGCTCCTGGCAACAAGACACCCAGGAACGAGAAGACGAGGAGATCAGAAAGGAAGGCAGAAGGACAGTCAAGCTGCCAAAAGAGGGACACTCCCCGCATTGGAGAGGATGCAGCAGCAGCATGAAACCCCTCTATTTTCCTGCCCCCCCCACACCCCCTCTGTGTCTCTGAGCACTGACGCTAGCCTGAGCTGCTCTGCATCAGGTCTATGGCTGCTGCTGTGCGTTTGTGTGTCAGCAAATCAGCACCGCCGTCTGTTATTAGTCACCATCGCTGCACTGAGAGGAGCTCTGTGCTCTGCTCAACCCTGGCAGCCGTGCTAATCAATCCCAGAGCAATGGATCAGGTTTCAGCTACTGCGTCTCCTAATCCAGTCAGGAATCAAGTGTTGATGCAATGTACACATATACTGCTCTGAGAGAAATTGTTCCTCTGCTAATTGGATGTTCCTCACTTTGTGTTGATGCAGTCGTTGCCTAGCAATACAGTAGCTATCACAAGAATAAAACAAGTTTTCATGGTTTTTATTTTGAAGTATTCAGTGTCTCACTCTCAAAGGGGTAATACCGTGAAATTCCTTTTTTTAAATTGTATTATTGTAATAATTCTTGCAGGAAGTGATGAATTACCTTAATTTGTCGCATGTTTAATTGCCATATTTTGGCATGACAATATTACTTTACTGAGATATACGATGACTTCTTGTCAGGCTATGCATGTAATATTTATCCTTACATGTACTTACCTATTTACTTACATATATATTAGGGATGGGAATTTGAAAGCAAATGTATATTCGACTCCCAAAAAAACGGTTAACCGATTAACCGAAATAAATATAAAAAATTAAATAAATAAAAAATAAAAGATTTAATTTTGAAAAATAAATAAATAAATACATGTTCAAATAAGTATAGAAACCAAGTCAAATTTGTCAAATGTATTGAACTGGTGATCACAGTTTGAACAGTTGAC